AGGCAGCCACTGGCCCAAGGCTAGTGAGGGGAGCCCCAGTGCTCCAGCCTGGGGGTGCAGCTCTGTGCCCTCCCACAGCAGCATGACATGGAAGGAAGTCAGGGGTCAGGGCAGACTTGGTCCTGGCCTGGTTCTTTTAGACCATGTGACCTTGGCCCACCCCCAGTCCAGGCCAGTTCTTTCCCCAGTAAATGCCTAGGGCCACTCTGAACTCTAGGATTCCACAAGCTCTTGCACCCCCTTAAGTCGAGAGTCCTAAATCAGTTCTGGTGGAGCCTGGCACCCCTATCAATAGGCAATCGCCTTTTGACAGATGGATGGAAAACCCAAGAGCAAAATAAGCCACTGTAAGTAGGGACAACGCAAGGCGTGGTGGAATTTTATAAACATGCTTTAAACCAAACGAAGAGGACATAAACTGCCCTGCCTTAAGAAAACGCCAAGATACTGAAGCAATCTTCCATTTCAATACTAAAATAAAAAACATGTTAACCCAAATTAAAAAGAAATTTAATTCATTTAATAAGAAACTTCCTATTCTTAAGTCAAAGAGCATCACCTAGTGCCTGGAACATCAGAACGTCAGGGCTTAGAGATCACCCATGGCAGCCGATTCATATGACTGATGGAAAATAAAAATCTGGAAGAGGGGCAGGCGACATGGACAAGGTCACAGACGCAAAGTAGGAAGGAGAACCCGGGGCCCCCGAATCCACCTGGCTCTGCCAATGGGGCTAAGTATTTCATAGTGAAGGAATGAAGGTAAGCGGTGTTCCCTGCAATGCATGACTCTTCTAACCAGTTCACAAACAAGTGAGCTCCAGGCTATGAGAGGACGACTGAATACTTCAAAATTCTACTTTTATCTTCTCAGAAGCCACAGTGAAATTTCTCAGCCTTTCCCACATAAGCTGACTATCTTCCCAACGGAGGAAACCACAGAACACAGCACTCGCCTCCAGAAACCTGGAGTCTTTCGTCTGATGCAAGAAAAGCAACCTAACCATGGCTTTGGTTATGTGTTTACGTCAGTCACCAAATTCACCCAAGTCACCGACCCTCAAAACACTGGGTCAGAGAGGCACGGAAAAGATCCGACAACACCTCTTCTGGCCGCAGATCCCTAAGACCATAAATCCCCTTCCTGGAAGGGTTTAGAATTGCAGCAACCAGAAGTAGTAACTGCGGTCTTGAACACGTTTGCGCAAAACACACACACAAAAGCAAAAAGAACTGGCGTCTGCAATGAGAGGGGGATATAGAGGAGGCCCGGGAAGGTTTAGGTTGTAAGGTCCCCCAGGGATGCCAGGTGATTCAGGGCTGGGGCTCCCGGCTGGAGCAGCCTGCCAAGAGGAAGGGGGAGCCAGGGCTCACCCCCGGGTGGGGCTCACTCCCCCGTCCGGCTCATCCCGGGGTCGGGCTCATCCCTGGGTCGGGCCCACCTCCCGGTCGGGATCACCCCCGGGTCGGGCTCGGGGCTTGGGGGCACTGGTGGGCTGGGTGGGGCGGGAGCTGGGGCCCGCGCAGGGCGGGGGCTGAGGGCGGGTCCCCGGGCGGGGCGGGGCGGGGGTCCCCGGGCGGGGCCCCGGCGCGACCGGCCCACGCACCTCCTCGGCCTGCTTGCGCAGCGCCTTCTCCCGCTCGTACTGGGTGAGCAGCTGCTCGTTGTCCTCGCGCAGCAGCTCCAGCTCCACCTCGTGCTCCTGGTTCTCGCTGAGCACCGAGTCGAGGTTCTCGAGAACGTTCACCACGAGAGGCATCAGTTCCTTGACCACCTCCTCGTCGTAGCAGTGGATGAGGCGCTCGAACTCGCGGTAGATGGAGCCCGCCAGGCCCGACACCCGCTCCGACATTACCGAGCCCGAGCAGTAGTCGTCCTGGTAGACGACCACGCCGCCGCCCTCGTCCATCTGTATCTCCATCATCGTGGCCACCGCAGCCGCCAGCGCGGCCCGCTGTCCGCCGGCGCGCCCGCCCGCCCCGGCTGCCCGTGGTCCGCAGGCCGCGGCCCTTCGTCGCCGCCGCAGCCGCTGTCGCCTCAGGGCTCAGCCGCCGCCGCTGATGCTGATGCTGCTCCCGTCACTCAGCTGCCGGAAGTCCCGCCGCCCGGAAGTCCCGCCCGCCAGACTACGGGGGCGGAGCCCGCCGAGGCCCCGCGGCGCTGCGCCGCTAGGGGTCGCAGGGGCCGTGACGTAGGAGGAAGCCCGTCTCCGGGCCGGAAGCTCGGTCGAGCGGAGCGGGGAGAGCTTCTCGTCACGCGTCCTCCCGCGTCCGCGATGCCGGCGTGGACTTTTATGAAGTGACGGCGTCTGTCCGAAGACTATCTATAAATGACCTTGTACGGCTTAGGGACTTAGCGAGCGGCCGTGCGCCCACTCTTTCCTCCAAAGAAATGGGCGGTATCTTCGCGCGCCCCTCCCTCCCCTGAGGTGCTCGCAGTGCGGGCCTGGTCGCTGTGGACTTGGCTGTGGAGCTTCACTGCACAGCAGTGCGTGCTCCTCAGAGTAGGCTCTCCGAACTCCCTCCCCAGGGCCCGCGCCCTCCCATGTTCCCTCCGCAAGTTGACCGACTGGTCCCTAAATCCAGTAACAAAGTCTCATTTAGTACACTTCTGTGTCCTGATACTGTGTAACTTCTTCAGATTTCCCAGTTTCACTTGAGCTGTGTAACCTAACTCCTACACCGAGTTTTTAATTTCAGCGACTTTTGGGGGTTGCGGGACACGTGGGATCTTCTTAGTTCCCCCGACCAGGGATGGCACTTGTGCCCCTTGCAGTGATGGCGGGAAGTCCCTCAACGGTTAAGTTTCCATTTGTCCTGCTTGATTAATTCTACCAGTTTTTATAGGTTCTTATTTCTTCCACTTTTAGCCACTTGATTTGCATTTTTTTCCACTGTCATCTGAGATTGTGAACCTAAGACATACACTTTCAACTTTGGGGACCACACAGATGGTGTGAATCCTGATCAAAAACCCATGAGTGGCAGCTTAGTGCCAACAGAAATGCTTTTTATCCCTGTCCTGATGCAGCGCTTCAAAGTGAGGTCCTACTAACCTGATTGCACCAATGAACGTTCCTGCGGGTCAGGCCCTAAATACTGTTGCACATTGTTCCCCTTGCTGTATGGGTGCTCACCCACCCCACTGAGAAAGGGTTGGAGCTTTCAATCTCACATTCAGCCTGCCTGGGGTTTCATCTGGCCAACTGGAAAACTAAGCCTGAAACAATTACCAACCTACGAGGAACATTAGGAAGACCATGAAAGGGGTTTAGTATCATTTCTAGCAAATAGTAAGCATGCAATAAATATAGACTTGTTTATTTTCTCAAAATGATAAACCAGGACAGATGAAATGTTTCTTCTGGTGAACAAGTTACAGAGGAAGGTTGTAAATGTTTTGGGGAATGTCTGAGATTTCTGCCCTAGCCCTCTCCTGGAAATGTAGGCCCTTTGGAATTACTGAAATGTCTAATAGAGTACAGCAGCCACCACTACAACAGTGAGAGGCCAAATGAGTTGGCATCAACTTTATTAGTTTTCACAACATGTTTGGGCAGATTTATTACTTGAAATTGGTTAGAGAAAATGAAGTTTTAACAAAATGATATGCTGGATAATTCTTGATGCTTACTGAAGAATAACTAGCACACTCTGAGAGCTAAAGCTAACTGAATTAGAACTTGCTTCCTTTCAGATTTGTAAAGATAATTTGCTATTCAGCCTTTTCTTTTTCTCATTTTAAGACCCTAAAATCTAAGATGTCTGGACACACAGGTTTCAAAAGTTCTACTTTAATTTCTAAGTATTCATCCCAAATGCCTGCTAGTCACTTAGGTCCCTGTAATGTCCCTCATTTCTTCCTAAGCTGAAGTTTAGATAGCACTTTGCAGTCACACATGTAACAGGAAATTTCATTCCTGAGCTCCAAGAATGCTAAGGATTAAGAATATAACAAAAATTCAGAAGAAATGAACAGGGTAACACGGGAGGAGACAGACATCCTTGCAGGGTTTGACTCACAAAGGTGTTAGAACAAGTTTCACTCTGTCAAAAGAGCCAGTATGTTTCTAGATAAAGCACAGAACTGAAGAGGGAATCCTTAGTTTCCATTTGTCCCCATAACGTAGGGGAGCCACCTTGGTCCTCTGATTCAGTCACTGCCTGGCCTCTGGAGACCAACAGGCTGCTACACTCACTGAGGCCAAGACCTCAGTGCTTGTCTGCGGCTGGAGCAGCTGCTACAAGTAGGTGCCAGTGCCCCACCCAATCCTGGGAGCACATGCTGCACTCTCAGAAACATTTTCAGATGAACAAGTGAAGACAGTGCCAGGTCACCTATGTTGGGTTTCTCTCCTAAGTGCTGTCAGGGTAGTTGGCCCTGATGCAGCAGGCAGAATGCAGTGAAGTTTCTTCTAGGGGGCTTTCCAGGCAGGCTGTCTGAGTAGCTCCATTACCCACAATCCACTTAATGCATGTAAGGATTATACATACGGCTAATACATAGAAAGGAAAAATAATCTATGCTTTTTCTATAGGGCGCGAATCTACAGGCAGATTCTAATAGGTCAGCACTTCATCTATTCATGGCCAGGCTTCACGGCAGTTTCAAAGTCAACTCAGAGGCAAGTTCTGCAGGAAAATGAGTGGTGTTAAGAGAAAAAAGAATCATTACCTTCAATTTACAGAAACTAAAAAGAACACTGCCACATTCCCATCCATTAGAAGCTAAGTTTTTGGTTTTCAAATGAAAAAACCTTGAATCCATAAACTTTCAGAAGATTAATTTGGGCATCCTCTGGCTTTAAAAAAAAAAAAAAAAGGCAAACCCCTTCAACCAATGAAGAGGTGTGAGGAAAGGAGCAGAGTTCAGGCTCTGGAGAATGGATGCAGAGGGAACACGTGAGCACATAGGGCCGTCTGCCCGCCCACCCACCTGCCCACCCTCACGCGGACACACACATACACTGTGCACATGACCAACAGGCAAAGACTCTCGAGTACATGATTGCTAAGTTTAATTCAAAAGCTATACCCACTCCTGCCTTGTAAAAATAATAGGCTCCTCTTAAGGTTACATTGTGATGTGAGCACAGGTTTGTTGTTTCCAATGACAGCTTTACAAAAGAGTTGGCACCAAATGCATGTAAAAAAAGTTTGAAGGCTTAATAAAAACACAGACCAGTAATTTCTCAATGTAGCTTGGAGGCTGAGAAAAGGATGCAGAGAGTTAATGAACCTCCCAAACATAGGCAATCCCCAACGTACAGAGCATTTTCCAAATACAAATGGCCTCCCCCATCAGGTTCAAAGGAGCAAAGTTTTTTGCGGCTCCTCCCATGACCAGACCATCCCAGCTCCCTCAACCCAGGCCCATGGCCCCAAGGAAGGAAAGGAAGAGGGAAACGGGACGAGAGTAAGGCGACGCGGTCCTGCTGCGTTGGGCTCTGCCCCGGTGGTGATCTCCTCCCCCAACCCCCACTCAGCCTTGGTTCCCAGCTCTGCCCCAAAGTCCCTGCCAGGGGACTGATTTAGAAAGCTCTTCCCCTTGTGCAGCTGACAGTAAGGCCGAAGCCCTGAGGGCCAGCAGCATGTCAGGGTCTTCTTGACCATCCAATATGGAATCCACAAATCGTTTTCTTGTATGTTAAAACGCACAACAAAATGGTTATAAATAGTTCACGCCTACTTTTGGAACATCTCATTGTAACTTGTGTAAGTCAGTGTGTTTGAGCTTAATAGCTAATCACCAGTTATGTCAGTTTTTAATGGGGGAAAAAATGCTCTGAGTTCCAGACAACTTTCTTATAAACGACCACTTGAAGGCTGGAGGGAGACAGGAGGCGCTTGAGAGAATCACATGGAATAAGAGTTTCTCAGCTCCAAAGTCAGCAGGTGGACAGGAGCGGGTCTTTGGTTGGCAAGCACCGTGCAGACCTCCAGTGCTGGTGGAGGGTGTGGAGCCTGGCGGGGAGCTCCCACAGGCACTGGAGTGTTCAGGCCATTACACACGTGGCCACACTGCAGTGACGAAGACGTTTCTAGCACCTGTATGAACTTAGTGGGCACTCGGACCCATAGTTACCCCCGACAAACTGCTGGTCTCCCGTGACTGTAGTATAGGTGCTGACACTGTGACCCTTTAGAGGCACAATGGGAGAAACTTCCATCTGACAGACTATAGCATCATGACTCTTGCCAGTCTGGTATCTCTGCTGGCAAATACCATGGAATGAGACAGCTGAGAATGTACTGCCAAACTATTTAATCTCCTGGCCTAAGGTCTCTTAAGTCTTGTCTGGAAACTGAATGTGGCCCAGAGGTTCTGCAAAGCTTTAGAAAGGGTGCCCTAAGAAAACTCTCCCTCCTCTTTGGTGTACCTGAGCGACAGACTTTTTTCTAGAAAGGTGTCAGAAACAGACTAGAGTCAACAGTTACTGAAGTAAAGCTGGCACTTGAGAACAGGTCTTGAGCTATTACCAAAGAAGCCAAACCTAAGAACCCAGGGTTCTCAGGCATCTATGCTTCCCACTGTCAGCAGGAATATAAAGGAGGACACAGGAACAGTAACAACGCCAGTACCTGGATATGTCTGGGTAGTTTTAAAGTCCTGTAGAAGGTAGTGGTCTTGCCGACAGGAAGTGTCGCTGGTGAAGGGAGCAGTCCACATCACTGGTGAGGAGTAAAGGCCCAGACTTAAGGCTGATGAGGAAAAAAGGAACAACTCACAAGCAAGACTGCCTGTAGAGTGGAGTCTAAACCAGTCTCTCGTGGACAAAAAGCAGAGATTCCTACGTTAAGACCTGGCCGAGGTTTGAGAGGGCAGAAGCAGGGTGCAAAATCTCTCCATAAAGCATATGACGGAACACAGCATTTTGGTTTTCTGTTGACAGCTGCTGAGGAAAAGCAACCAACACGTTTCAAGAAAATCTCTGGAATGGAGGTGAGAAACAGTGGGGCCGAACAAGTCCCTGGAATGGCTCCTCTGTCCCACAGCGGCAGACCTGTGGTTTTGGTTTTCTCTCAAAGGTTTTAATCTCTGCTACTGTGTTAGTGATTCCTAGATACCCGATTAGCAAACACACCGAGGACGTGAGACCCCACTTCTCGGGGGCACCTGGCCTGGCCCCACTCCCCTCCCGCCCACCCGGGAGCTCCTCTCACACCAGGGCCCCATCTCCTCCCTTGGAGTCCAGAAGGTGGGTCCTCATCTCGAGACGGCCGTGAACTGGGTAGTAGCCTCAGGTGTCCACCGGAGAGACCCTCTCCCCACCCTGCTCCTTCAGGCTAAAGGAACTACACTATTTGAAATCCTATATCTGGAGTTTCTTGTCTGGCTATGGGACGCGGCAGGCCTCTTAGTAGAAGGAGATGCTGGACTTGCCTCCGGGCGGGTTCAGGACTTTGTTGTGGGAGCGAGGCCGGGGACCCAGCCGGGGTTCATGGCTGTCGACGGTGGGCGCTGGCTCCTGGACGCGGGCTGCTTCTCTTGGGCCGCCGGGCTCACCTGGATCTTGTCTGGGTGAGGCACTGGCTGAAGGACAGAGTCAGCACAGGGCCCGTCAGAGGCTGCCCGTCACCCGGTGGGCAAGCCGCACACGCGAACCGAAGTCTGTGGCCTGGAGCGGCGCGCACAGCATGGTGTTAGGCCAGGTCAGCACAGAAGGCCCTGAGCCACGCTCGGGGGAACACCTAGGGGTCGTCTCCACGCTGCTGGCTGGCCTCCATGCTGCTCCCTACCACCGCAAGTCTAAAGAGAAAACCTCAGAGCGAGTGAGAAGGGCGGGAAGCTCCTCCTAAGTGGAGGGCCCAGGCAGGATTCCCTGGACTTCCTGACTGACCCTGTTCCCACCTCTTCATCATCAACTGAAGGCAGTAATCAGCGCCCAGTCAGGTCGGGCACTCTGGGACCGAGCCCCACACCCAGCCCCACGAGCGGCAGCCCACCGTGGGGTGACCTGAGGCAGCCGCCCGCCACCATGAAGCCCTGCAGTCCCCCCCACCCGCTGCCAGTGCAGCCTCTGGTCAGAGTTCATTGAAGGCTTTGGACCACTGCCATTCACTATACAAGATCAGCTTCTAGAAGAGGATGCTGTGGCCTGAGGCCCAGACTGACCAGCACGGACAAGAGGTACAGAAAAGCCAGTGGGAACGCTGTCACTGAGTAACTGAGCCCATTTCCCCTGCCTCTCTCCTACACAAAACCCACCCACGGTCACAACTCTGCCGTCTTCATCAGCAGGTGGGCTGGGGCACAGGGACCCCTCCCGGTCCACCAGCAGACCCGCAGAGCTGAGCCCCGGGGAAGGGACAGACAGTGAGCTCACCTCTGAGGTCTGGTGTATCCTCTCCCTCACACAGGAGCATGTGGTCCTGCAACAAGGCAAACTCAGGTCAATCCACTGCTCGGACACTTGCGGCCTTGCTCAGGTGGACGAGGAGAAAGCTGTGGGTGACCCGGGTCAACTTCTATCTTTAAAAAGTGTCTATTTGGACAGTTTTAACCGGAAACAAAGCCTCAGGAAGAGCCCCGTGAGCCCCCAGGTAACCCTGCTCCACAGCCAGTGACACCAGCCCGCCTCCACTCTGGCTTCAGCCACACTCCTACCAGCTTCCAGACCCCGCCCCCTCACAGGCTGATTGGAAAGCAAATCCTGTATTTCACTGATCCATAAATGTTTCAAGATGCAGCTCTTTGAACTGCAAAAGTTAATGACCCCTTAAACGTCTCACACAGGGTCGTTTAACCTCAGCAGGCGCTCTCCCTGACGGCCCACCTGTGCGTCAGAGCCCCGCTCCTCTCTGCGGCTGAGCCATCCCCAGCACGTGCGCAGCGCAGCGCAGCACCTCCGGCTCACCCAGTCACCTGGTGATGGGACAGTGGGGCTGCATCCACCCTCTGGTCACTGAGGACAACACCATTAAACCAGGTCTCCCCAAGTATCTGTTTGCTTTGTTTTCACAACTGAGGTTATATACCTAAGAGTAAAACTGCTGGTTCATACAGTAAAATTCTGTGTTTTAACTTCTTCAGAAACCACCAAACTGTTTTCTATAGTGGCTGCACCATTATGCATTCCCAAGAGCAGTGTCGGAGGGTTCCCATGTCTCCATGTCCTCATCATTCCTTACTTTGTCTTTTTGATAACAGCCATCCCAGTACGTGTGATGTGGTATCTCGCTGTGATTCTGATTTGCATCTCCCTACCGATCATGTGCTGACTGACCATTTGGATGTCTTCTTTAGAGAAATGTCTATTCATATTCTTTGCTCCCTCCCTTTTTTGGTTCTGAAATTTTTACTTTTAAAAATTTATTTTCTTCAAGTATAGTTAATTTCCGATGCTGTATTAATTTCTGCTGTATGGCAGAGTGACTCAATTATACATACATACATATATTCCTCTTCATATGCTTTTCCATTGCGGTTCATCACAGGCTATTGAGTATAGTTCCTTGTGCTACACAGCAGGACCTTGTTTAACCATCATATGTAAAATAGTTCACATTTGCCAACCCCAGATCTCCATTTCATCTCTCCCCCTTGCCTTTATCCATCTTTGAATGTGTCTGTCTTTTTGTTGTTGAACTGTAGGGGTTCTTTACATATTCTGCAACCATCAGTCTTTGAAAAGGAATTCACACTGTTTCCTATATTCTGCGTTACTCTGATTGAATCCCTGTGGCATCCATTAATAGGAGGTTTGGTCGGATTCAGGTTTGGTTGTTTCGACAAGAATTCAAAGGTGACCCATGATGAACTTCTAGCACGAAGCCCATCATTTCTGGAGGTGTCCTGTTTTCTGATGTATGAGCAGCCACTGATGATCGCCGCCTAGACCTACAATTTCATTACAAGCTTGCAAAATGGTAATTTCTGAATTCTGTAATTCACTCGTCATTTATGGGCTGGAATACTATGAGGAAACTTCCCCTCAGCAGCTGTCATCTGAGGTACATACAGTTCATGAAGAAACACTGGCTAAGTAAGTGCCTGATTCTGTCCGTCAGCAGTTTTCCAGATGGACATTCTCCAAAGGGGACAAACTAGATTTTTTAAAATAGTAGCAGGAACACATAAATTCTAAGTATCTGGTGAATTTTAATCCAATGTAGCTACTCTACTTATTGACTGATGACAACAGTGAAGTGTTGCTGAGAGGCAAGCTGCCCCGTTTTAAGTTCCATTTTATCAGTACCCTCAGCAGCTCTTGGTGGCCTGCCTGCAGTGGGCCACCCCTGCCACCAGCGTCCCCTAGGGCTTGTCATCACGAGGCTGGAACACACTCTCCAATGACTCAGGGCAGCGCTGATGACTAATGGCTGCAGCCAGGAAAAGCAACGTCACCCGCCTTGTCTCCTCCTAACGCACGCCATACCTGCTTGGAACCTTTTTAGACAAGTGCCTGGAGCCAGCTCTGCCTCTGTCACCCTTAGGTCTGCTCTCTGAGTGTAGTCCGTACCTTGGGTTTGTTTGGGTGTGCCGTGGGTGAGGCAGCAGCGACGGGGGACCCGAAAATGTCACTGGTCTTGCCCCCCGGTGGGTTCAGACGCGGTCGAGTCTGCACAGGCCCCGATTCGTCAAATATACCGCTTCCTTTTCCCCCTGCAGAAACAAGCAGAGTGATGAGCAGCCCGGAATACCCACCCAACCCCTCCACGCTGATCACTTGAGAGACCTCCCCTCATGGCGACCAGTCCTGAGTTCAGCCTGAGGGTGAGGTGACTGGGTTGACAAGGGATCCTGAAAGACCCACATCACACCCCAGCCCCTTCTCATGTCCGGCTGGGCCTTCATCACTGGACCTGAACTGCACTGGGCTGGCTGCTAGGGGCAAGACGGGCAGGTGGTCTAAAACAGCATTTTCCCCTCTAGAGTGTCCTTAACCCTGAACTTTTCAGATTTTTCTGCTCAAGAATCTTCTGCATTAAACCCAGAAAAGTTCTTTCATACATTAAAGGCAAACAGCTGCTAACTTTTGAGGTAAGATGGATAGAACTGAATTAACATGCCCTGTTCAAGGCAAACCTGTAATTTAGAAAACATTTATTAGTCATTCTCCTGACCTCAATCTGGCTGGAACTTCCAGTGACAATTAGATATGCCAGTGAATTACAGATATTTAACATCTTTGCTGCTGAACAGAAACAATTTGACAAGTTACTTTGAAAATATGCATCTCGGAAATTAGTTCTTATAAGCTGGTGGCTGAGGCATAGACATGGGACATAAATGCTGACATTAACAGAAAGACTCTAGCACATGGCACCGGCCAATCACCCCTGCAATCAGCAAACACCAGCGCCTCTCTTCCACCGAGTCCCGAGCTAAGATTTATAATCTCACAGGAGAAAGAAGGCGCATTCCACACGCAGCTGAGACCAGACACAAGTTACCCGGCCCCTCTGTGCCCCATGTTCCTTACCCTCAGAGCAGTGGTAATAAAGGCCCCTCCCACCTCAAGGCGCCAAAGAGAGGAGTCATGACTCACTGCCGCTCATGTGTGTCCAACACTCACAACAATGCTGGGACATAAATGCTCAGTGAAAACGGCGCAAGACAGTATGGACGGCACACGGCTTCCGTACTGTAGACGGAAGGGTGTTCTCAAACATCTGGATCTCCATTATTCCACCCCCCCCCAAGGGCCCCAACCCCCCAGAAATGCAGTGGCAGTGGTGGTGTGGGAGCTTAGGATTCTAAATGTGCTCATTTTTACAGCAGTGATCTTTGTTGACCGCCTCCAAGAAGTTAAAATTTACAGTCACGTCTTGGCTGTAATGACGCACACAGACAGGACAGGGGCGAGCAGAACTCTGAGGACAGAACCCAGCACGAGAACCCTTTCTAGGGTGGGAGAAGCTTAGAGAACAGGTGGGTCTGACCGCAGGAAAAGGCACACATCCACGTCACGTCAGGCTGATCGCAAGCCTTCCAGTCCCAACCACAGTCCCTGGGCTGGGTCCTGCTCAGCCACTGACCGTCTGTAGGACAGCACCTGGCTGGACGAGGCGGAGGGGGGCCTGGAGAGGAAGCTCCCAGACACGCTGCTGTTACTGACAGGGTGTCGTCAGCAAAAACATCCAGGCCCCAAAGTGCAGAGAAGCTGCTGCCCAAGGCCACCCCCCGAATGCCTGTTACCAAGCTGTTGCTGGTCACGCTTACGTAAATTCTAAGATGTGTGTTCAGCTTATTTTAAAGTGCGAGACAAAAATAAAAGTAACTCAATCTGAAGGTTTTGGCTAGAAGCACTGCTCATTTAAAGACATTTAAAAAACTGTGAAACATGACAGAGAAATTCCTGAGACACAAACACAGCAAACATTCCAGCAATGATCACAGGTGAGCGTGGGTTAGTCTGACAGGACACCGCCAGCCCCCAGAAACCCAGGTTCCTTCCTCTTCACCTTTGTCAACAACACACTCGAAAAACACCAGAGTTCTGTTTTGAACTTTATGAAAAGTAATCACACTGTGTGTCTACTACTCAACACTTTATCTGAAAGATGAAGTGTGCTTTGAAGGTGGAAAAGATGCTCAACTCACTCATAATGAGAGAAAAATAAATCCAAGATACACTTTTTAGAGACCCAAATCTCAGGAGACATGACCCCGTGCTGGTGGAGTGTGGGAGGCAGACGCTGCTGACGCCCTGAAGGACGTGTCTGAAGACCAGGCGAAGCACCAGCATTTTATACTGACCTGGCAATGCCATTTCAGAAGTCAGCCCCATCTGAGTATTTGGAGGTAAGCTGGCAGTCAGGAAAACCTATATCCAAAGGCCGAGTTCTGCCACCAGTGAGCTGCAGGCCCAGACTGGCCGGTGGACCGGAGCCTCAGCTCCTCTGTAGAGGGGGTCACATATCTCCCCAGGCTGTGGAGACGGCCAGCACCCCACACAGGCCCTGCAAACACCAAACAGCCTGCCTACGTCCATCCCCACCTTCAGGTCTAAACCAGGAGAGCAGGTGACACACGGTACCAACCAGCCCGGGTCCACGTCCAGGGATGGCCGGCAGTGGGGCCCCTCCTCCGCACGCGCTTGGTCGGGGGGGGGGGGGGGCCTCCCCAGAGTCCACTGACTGAGTGCCGGCAGGATGCGCCTGCAGGTTTCATTCCGAGCTGCCCGTGAGACTTCATCACAGGTGATTTTCTCCCTTCGCTCCTTCCTGTCTTTCTTTTTAAAACATGTTTCTCCGTGTTAATTCATTCACCAGTTAAAATGAGCTTCTGGGCGATGGGAGGAGGCAGGAGGGGATTCCAGCATTTGTTAACTGCTCAGCTCTCATCTCAGAGGCCCTGGCAGGACAGAAAACAAACCCCAAACAACAGGAGCGCCAGGAGCAGAGGTTTCAGCACAGGGTGCCTCCAGGCGGCTGTTACATTTTGGTTTTCTAACTCTCTAGTTGGGTAGGGGGCCAGGCTGCCAAGGGGTCACAGATTTTTGAGAGCCTGGCAAAGCAGAACCACCCCATGTGGCATACTTCCTGGAGAACCTAGAGCCCCGGAGACAGCTGCAGACGCCACGGCGCTAAGCCCCGGCAGCCAGCATGCCCATCCCCAGGCGCCCCCTGTTTGAGTCTACCTGCTATAGCACTTGGTTGGCACAAAGGATACGCAGGGCTGAGCACTAGGGCTCTGCACCCACCAACTGGGTGCATGAGAATGTTACTCTGTAAGAACCACCTGCTTCTTGGGCTTCCCTGGTGGCGCAGTGGATAAGAATCCACCTGCTGATGCAGGAGACATGGGTTCAGTCCCTGGTCCAGAGAGTTTGAGATGATGCCGCAGAGCAACTAGGCCCATGCCCCACAGCTACTGAACTGCTTGCTCCAGAACCCGGGAGCCACAGCTACTGAGGCCCGCGCATCCTCGAGCCTGTGCTCTGCAACCAGAAGCCATGTGCAGCTAGGAAGACTCAGCATAGCCAAAAATAAAAAACCCAACAAAACCACCTGCTTCTCTGCCATAAGTAAATGCAAAGATACTGCAAACCTCCACCCCACCTGACCACTGAAAACCACACGAAAATCCAGCTTTTGCATCCATTGCTTTTGTTCCTCCAGGTCTGTGAAGCGATATTTGTACTCAACATAGGGACAGGGTAGGGAGCAGTCCCAGCTCCGGTTCTGTTTGACTTCATCATTTGTCTGAAATACTGACTTCTGTGTTGCATCTCTCAGACCTTTAAGGATGGTACAAACGTTGCTTTTCCTGCGTGGACACAGATGGGGAAAGCCCCTCAGGTGACTACCACTGTGTGGTCACTCTGCTGGACTGTCCATCAGCCAAGAGAAAGGCTCTTCTGAGATTCCTCCCACTGGAGCCACTAAGAGGTGCGTCAGGACTGTGAAGCCACAGGGCTGCAGGCCAGGCTGAGCCGTCCTTTTTATTTAGTTTCAGTCCTGCTCACAATCTGATTAAAAATACTCTGAACACACAACTTGCAGGCAAGTTCAAGAATCTGAAGGAGTCCACCAGCCAGTGTGGGGAGCCTCCCCAGCAGGAAGCAGAACCCCACCATGTGCCTGCATGCACTGCTCGGCGCCTGCACACGGCCAGCATCTGTTCACAGGTAAGGGGCAAGTCCAGGACGACCTGGAGGACACAGAGCTTAAGTCAGGATCCCTTCCTCTCCAGGACTCTGATGGCAGGGGACAGGCCACACCAGAAACATTGGAAAGGACTGATATAAAGGAGGAGAGACTTTTTTTTATCAAAAGAGCAGCATAAAAGAGAACAGTAGAGGCCAGAGGATTAGAGTCACAGGCCCGTACCAGGGGGGTTGGTCCTCTTGGGTATGTTCTGAGGTTCTTCGGTTGGTCCAAAAATATTAGAAGCCATCCTGTCCGGCCTGCGTGGAGGTGCGGCTTCCTCTGGACGATCGCCCAGCTCTCCTCCCGGAGGCTTTGTGGCCCTGCAAACAGAGAAGGTGTGAGGGACTGACAGCGGCTGGCCGGGGCACCATCGTCCAGGGCTGAGGCAGACATCTGTGGAGGGGCACAATGCGCTCATAGCCAGCCGGCAAACCTCCCCACCTGCCCTTGAGTTCCCATAAAGGTTTTCTCTGCACAACTTGGTTCTGCCAAGACCTCCAGAGTTGTACATGCTCTCAAGTTACTGCTGGGACCTCTCATCAAAAAATTAAGTTTCCCTGAAACAAGCAAATGGAGCTAGTTCAGTAGAGTTTCACTGTCATTTTAATTAGCAGACAGTAGTGCTGGGGCATGTGACAACACAGTGCAAGTGGACCACGGCAGAGGTAGGGACCATAACACTGACGCTTGCGTGGAGGGGCCCATGCTCGTCATGGCCCACCCCTCCACCCCCAACAGCCTATCCCCATGTCCCATAAAAGCTACCAGAGTCAAGCTGCAATACAGACTTGGATTAAATTCTTTACAAATGTACACCCTACAGCTTAAAAGACCTCAGGTTAACAATGGCTGAAGCATAACGCTTTTAAAATCCCTTTAACACCAGATAATCCCTTAGCAAGAAAACAAAAGCAGGGCTTTAAGACGGAAATCTGACCTAGTCCTCTTAACAGCCACCACTTGATTCCCTTCCTTTAACATGGCCTCAAAACCCGCAGCTGCTAACAGATCCCAAACATGCATGCTTAGTGGCTCAGTTGTGTCCGACTCTCTGCAACCCCATGGACTGTAACCCATCAGGCTCCTCTGACCATAGGATTCTCTGGGCAAGAATACTGGAGTGGGTGGCCATGCCCTCCTCCAGGGGAATCTATCCAGACCCAGGGATCAAACCTGCTTCTCTTGTGTCTCCTGCAGTGGCAGGCAGGTTCTTCAGCACTAGCGCCACCTGGGAAGCACCACCCCAAGCAGAGGCTCCCAATTAATCACCCAATTAAGAAGGTGGCTTTTCCTTCTCCGGCACCCTACAAGGAAAAACTTTCCCCTCATCTTCTCAAAACAACTTAACACTCCAGAGAAGTGAGGTATCAGTTGAGAGCACCCGCTCTGCACTGTCTCCCACAGCTTGGAAGCCAGCCCAGGGGCAGTGGTCCTTGTGGTGCGTCCTCGCTAACTGCACTAGTGTTTGCAGGGCACCCAGTGCCAGGCCATGTAAACAAAGACAGAGTGTCCTTAGTGCACACAACTGAGAAAGTGCTGGGAGGCAGCCCTCGGCCAGCTGGTGCGGATGCCGAACAGCGGTTTTCAGGGCCAGAAACTTGATTCAATATGAGCACTCCAGGATAAACTCCCAGTCCTGTATCAGCACAGACCCAGACAGGAGGGATAAGTGGTCACTGTTACAGGGGCTAGGGGCTAATGACTGATGATTTGGCCAGGAGTAGTACTGAATACTGATCTGACTCCCTCAAATTTGCAGTGATTTTAGCAGTTGAAACAATCCTTTCATTCTATGTACTGTTTACCTCCACAGATGCCACACTCCTCTGCTCTTATTGCCCGACCAGGCCACAGAAAGGGCTCACAGTAAAGGAAACTTTCAGGCATCGGAAGAACCAGCTCGACCTCGCGGCAGACTTCCCCTACGGCAGGACACCTCCAGCCCAGGCAACTCTACGTGACTCCCAGCACCCAGTGCTCCCCAAGTTAGAAAGCGAGCCAGCGCGCGCGGCACGTTCCTGATCGTTTAAGCCCAGTCGGTCTGCTCTGTCACTCGCTGTCCCGCCTGTTTCCTGGTCAGTAAAGTGGGGGAGGGCGACTCCTGGGTCTCGGGCTGCGGGGTTAGCGGGAAGAGCATCCCCTTGTTCCGGGGCTGCGGAGTTAAGAGGCGAGGGTGTCGCCTGGCTCCTCGACTGCGGGATTCTGGGAAGAGGGCGCCGCTGGCTCCCGGGCTGCGGGCTCCCAAGAAGACACTTCGCCTTGAGGCCCGTCCGCTCGCGCACACGCCACAGGGCGCCGGGGTCCCGGCCGCGCCGCCACGCCCGTCCCCCACTAAAGACCGCTCTGCCGGCGTCTGCGGCGCCCCCGCCCAGGAAGCGGCGCGTGCTGGGGCGGAAGGCGCGGGGAGGCGCACCTCAGGCCTCCCGGGGCCGCAGCCGCGCCCACCTCCCTCACCCGGCCGCGGAGGCCCCGGCTCTGTGAGCTCACCAAGGCCGCCCCGCCGCCCGCACGCCCTCCACATGACCGTGCCCACACCCGCGCCGCACCTGGGGCCGTCGCGGCCGCCCTCGCTGTCCGGTGCCCGGAACATGTCGCCCGCCACTCCGAGCCACCAGTCCGCCGCGCCGTCCTTCCCGCCCGGCCCCGCGCAGTCAAAGACCCGGCCTCTCGTCCCCACTGGGCGTCGCCGACATCAGTCAAGCAGCAGCAGCCTATCGCAGTGTCGGGCTCCGCCTCATGAGACGAAGGCTTGCAGAGGCCCGCGCCAGATACGCAGATGATTGGTGAAAGTAGATGTCGCTCACGGGGCCAGACGCCACCATTGGATAGCAAGCCGAAGGGGATGGCCCTGAGGTGGGCGGGGCCGGACGCTATCCGAGCACCTTGCCAATACTCTTCGCAGCACCCGGCGGCCTCTAGCCCGACCAACCCAACCCATAGGGCCAGCGTCGAGGGGCGATGAGCACGGTCTAGACTATCCCGAGAAGCCTGGTTTTCGCGAGCCAGTCAATGGCACGTGGATACGTGGCTAAAGGAAATGAAACAGCAGTTCCTCTGTCCTGCACGTCGTGGGGGCAAGAACACTAAGAAACGGGAAGCAAGGGATAAAGCGTGCAGCTGATTCCTGGTTGGAAAAAACAAAAATAAAACACATTCATTGGTGGTGTTTCTAAATTACACTGTTGACAGTCCATCGATTCCTCTGAGATCGCACCGGATGATGGCCACTTGGGCTGTTTGCAGAGTGCACAGTTAAAAAGAAAAAAGCAGAAACAGTAATTATTAGACCAAGTATTAGTATTGTATTTATGCACAATAATAAAAACAGATTTACAAGTTCAACTGGAAATTTAAACATAAGAAGTTTAACAGCTTTTATTATATTAAATAACCAAACACCTTTTATTCCCCAAATTGGTAAAGAATAAATAATATAATTTACAATATGGTACAAAAAATAATCAGGAAGGACAGGCATTCTGCTTTATACATACACTGTATATGTATATTTATAATCTATAAAACAAATTCACATCTCAAACAAGCCGAAAACTTCAGATGATATGGCTTAACGATTATTAGAAGAAACAGCAATAATCTCTGCTTCCCAGAAGCCCGGGAGCAGGCTATCCTGCCACAGAACAGCAGGGCAGGCTGCTGTAGTGCTTCCAGGACTTGCTCCCCTCACATGACATACAAGGTACTGCAGGGTTAGGAGTTTGTCTGACAGCCACGAAAGATTTGCTCTGGGTTTTTCTTTTTTTAAGACAAAAGTGCCATATTTCCTCCTAAATGCATTTGGGATAGATTTCAAAGTGAAAAAGAAAAAGCAACTGCCAGTTTCCTTCTCCCATTTGTTTCAAGTGTTTTTTATTCCATGGCCTTTCTTTGCACATGTTTGGATTCAGTGGTGTGATTGCATTAAAGATGCTATTAAACTGAAGAGACACCACCAGTAATGAGGCTGCGGTACAGAATGGAGAACAGGACTGATGCGGGAAAGCGAGTAGATCAGCCCATGAAAGGGGTCCAAATATCCCTCCACCCTGAGCAAGTACTCTACACCCAGGAGACACAGGGGACCATCAGCTGGCCTCTTTACCTTCTGAAGAATGGACTGCTCATCACTGAGTATTCACAATGAAGAATCAAGACAAAAACAACTGCCTAGAGACGGGGGCTGTTCAGTCTCACTCTTTAGGGGAGATGAGCCAGCAGAAAGATCCCTGATGACGTCAGTGATGAGAGAAAGGCTTTTCTGAGACTGACCTGGTCTTAATCACAACATACTTCCAACGTACAAAGGAGGCCATAAGTGCGGAGAGACGATCACACCTTCCACTGCAAAGGCAGAGGGAGATGCTGGAAGTGGGAGGCTTCTCCACTTGGGTCTTTTGAAAAATCCCAGCCTTGAATGTAATAGTTGCTAATTTGTGTACATATATAATTATTCAGGCTGGGAGAAAATGCATCCAACATCTTAATGCTACATATGACACTATTTTCCCTTATTATGGCAAGCAAACAAACCTGTCTGGTTTCTAGAGAAGCAGCATTCTCTGTAATCATGTCAGCTTCACAGGTGAGAAGTCAATCCTCGCCTCAGCAACCCACCTCCCCACTGCAGACAGTGGCCAGTCAGCTACCCCCACACAGTCTATGCACGAGACAGGCAGGAGGTGCTGCTGAGACAAAGGCTGATCCAAATCTCCAGGGCTTTCCTCATGCTAGACATCACCAGGTGACAGGTACCCACCTCCCCACCAGACCGCCTCAGGGCGCCCCCTGATGGATGAACAGCCTGGGGTCTCTATGGTCCCCAGTGCGGTGCGTGCTGCCACAGGGCACTGCCCCCAGCATAGGTGCAGTAACGTGACTTGGCATCGCTGGTCCCAGACAGTGGGGAAAGGAGAAAGCTGGTAGTGGCCTAACCTCGGCCCAGCCCACTGTAGATCTAGCAGAGTCGGATGCCCAGAGGCAGATCTACTGATCTTGTTTGGCTCGATAAGGTGCTAACTTCAGGAAGCTGATACACTGATCACAACACACAAGCTAATTTAGAGACTGTGGACTCAAATACTGCTGTCTCCCCTCACAAAGCGGTGCTACGCCCCTTTCTTTCAGACCTCCAGGGGCTTGGAATGCTCTTCTCAAGGGCCCAGAGTAACTGCCCACACAGGCTTTTCCTCTGACGTCTGTGCCCAGATCCAGAGCTGAAAGAGGGAGACCCTGACAGGCTGGAGCTCTGGGAAAGCTCGAGGCAGGAGGGAGCTGGGGAGGCAGTGGGGCCGAGTGGCCCCTCTGGAGGCACATGCCGAGGACCCTCTGCTCTGCCTTGCGTACTGGCTCAAATCTCAAGGGCAGGGGAGGAGCCAGAGGAGAGGCCTAGCTGGCTGGGAAGGCTGCCGGTCCACTGCGAGCTGGGGGGAGGTGAGGGGACAGACACAAACAGGGTGGGCTGGGCTGGATTCAAGAAGCCACACTGACTGCAGCTGCCAGGTGGAGGGTGGGCAGCGGATGGGCTGGGAGCCCAGCACTACAGCACTGGCGCCCGCCCACAAGCGGTGTGCCTGGAGGGTGGTCTGCGCCTTGGGCCCACCAAGGCCGAGGAGACAGAGGAGCCCCGTTAGCTCCACTGGGGAAAGCTTGGACACCGGACTCCCTGCTGGTCACCCGAGACGGCACAAGGAGCACACCAGAGGGAGGTGGATTCGGCGCATTCTGACTGCGCCTGATGTCTGATCCCTGCCTGGATTCCCAGAAGGGACAGAAAGAAGGAAGAGAAGCAGGAGACCATGAGGCAAAGTGCAAGCAAAGGACTGTATACGTGCACTTGGGCATACTCTGCACTGACGTCAACAAGAGGAAGAAAGAAGTTCCCCTGCAAAGGGCATCTGTCCAAGACGCCAGGAAGGAAGGTGTCAGAGAGTCAAGATCATCAGGAAGGTCTAATCTGCAGTCAGACGAGTGCTCAGGGATCCCCCGGTGAGAGAAACCTCAGGTCACTGGGAAGAAACCTGCAGATGGATGCGGGGAAGAAACCAACTGAACAGGGACCTGTTCTTCCAATGTCTCCACCGTCTAATTCTTAAAATACAAGAAAAACATTTTCTGACCAGCTGAGCAGGAAGTCCACACAGCCCACAGAAGACATGATTCTCTTCCCTGTCCTGTTGAGTCAGTCAGGACAAAAGCCCAGATGAGGGAAGCACTAGGTGGAACCAGGACTTCTAGAGAGACGGCACTCAGCATGCTGCCCGGGACCCTCTGCTGCCCTGTGAGCGGAGCATCCCCTGCAGTGTCTGCCGTCACGGTGCAGACACCACCAGGCAGAGCCAGGCCACACCCCGCTGTCCGGCTGCAGGGACGACCACCGGAGCACAGCAAGGGTTTGGCAGAGAGAAGGCAGCAGTGGCCTGGAGCCTCCCTGCAGAAAGCATGAGGTCACAGCTCCCCAAGCCACAACGATGAAAGCCAGGCCCAACGCTCCTTCCTCTTGAAAAGAAACCCCTAAACATCCAACACAACCACCAAGGTGGAAGTATGGGCACCGTACAGACCCTGACCCACGCCCCTGCCACGGGTGGCTCGACCCCACTGCCACAGCTGATGCTGGCCCTGCCGGACTCCACACGTCCTGGCCCCACTCCTTGGCCGGCAGGACGGGGCTGTGTGCACATCATGCGTCCTGGGTGCTGAGATGCCTCTGCTCAGACTGTCTCCAGGGAGTCCCAACTTGACCTGTGTTCCCTCCCTTCTGAAGACAGCTCCCCCGGACACTTGAGGACCACCAACGCGGGCCACCGCCCTCGCAGCCCCCAGCTGCCTCCACCACGAGGCACCGTCACTGGGACAGGTCAGTGACTGGGGGGCCGCCTCCCCCACCGTCAAACAGAGCCTCCCGGCGGCTAGGCTCGGCAATGGACAGCTCCTGGGCCAGGTCGTTGAACCGAGAGATGTAGTCAACGCTGTTCTCGTTCATCATGCACACCAGCTGTGAGTCCACAACCTGCAGGCGGGGATGGGGAGGTCTGTCAGCAGGTGGCTGGACACCACGGCCGGACTGCAGTGCGCGTCCCTCCACAGTGACAGTTAGAGTCCCCTCAGGAGCCATCTCACACAGTCCCGAGCTCCAGGCACAACCTCAGCGTTGTCACTGTGAACCTCGCGCCGTGAACAAGTGACACTGCCCGGCGGTCGGGTCAGAGTGGCAGGTCTCCCACCCACACGAGACTTCTGGGAGGATGGTCAGTGGCCAGAGGGGCAGAGAGGGGGCAGTAGCTTGGTTCTACTCCAAGGCTGCCTGGAGGAGGTACAAGTGGACGAGGGAGTTTGCACGGGTGTGCGTGACACAGGCATTCTGAGGCAGGGTGTGCGGGCAAGTGCGGGAGCCAGCCGTATAAAGACCTGAGGGAAGCATGCCTGCAAGAAGAGACAGCAGGTGCAGAGGCCCTGTGGGAACAGCCAGCTGTTCAAGAAACAGAAAAGATGGTGGAAGAGATGAGTGAGGCAGAGAGTGGAGGGGAAGACCTGAGTGTACAGTGGGGCCTCTGGCGTCAGGACAGGGTCCTTTGGGCAGAGCCGGTCCTGGCTGGACCAGACAGTCAGCCAC